GGCCGTGGGGGCCGGCCCTGGTACCTGCGTCCAGCCGGTACACTCTGCACCTGCAGCCAGGAGTCGTCCACGGGCGGCGGCATGGGCGTGCTGACAGTGGTCGTGTTGATGTCGCCGATGATGCTGAGCGCCTCCTTCAGTGCGTGGTACATGCGCAGCATCTCATCCCGCCGCTGAGCTTGCTCGGCTGACTCCTCCATCAGTGTGTTCTGGTCCCCGCACGAGTACAGGTTGGCCAACAGCTCCGAGAAGATGAATTCCTTGGTCTGTGTGCAGGCAGGCGGAGAGAGGAGAGGGGTGGGGCCCTGCTAGGACCGTGTCCTGGACTGGAAGTTTTGGGGTGGAGGGCTCTGCCTAAACTCTGAGATCTCCCCAGACACCCCCGCCCCCCAGCCCTGGTCCCTTGCCCTTTTCACAGATGATCCAGAGAGGAAAAGTGACCTGTTCAAGATCACAGATCTGGGGGGACACTCAGGGACCATCATACATCTAGGAAGACCCTTACGCAGCACTTTTCAGTCCCACTTTCCTCATCTGTAAAATGTGCTGGTTAAATCCTTTCCAAGGACTTTCATGCTCCACTGGACCAAAATAAGGAAGATAGCTTTAAATTTTCTGAGCCCTGGAGTAACAGGTATAAATGTGCTTGGATTGGGGGAGAAGTGAGCCTCGGTGTGTAGGGGAAGGGTACCTGCCTAGGCTCTGGGATATTCATGGAGAGATGCTGAGCTTTTTTACACCATAGGCCTGTGTCTTGTTATTCAAATATATGTTGAACAGCTCCTACATGCCAGGCACTGTGTTGCTATGCACTTTATATTAATTTACTCCTCAACTCTATTATTATCCATATTCTATGTAATAAAAAGCTAATATGCAAATTTTCCCCTCCATCGGGAGTTCCACCAGGAGTTCGACCAGGGGGCGGGGCTGGCCAAACTCCCGCACCCGGGCCAGATCGGCCCCTACCCATGCACGAATTCATGCACTGGGCCTCTAGTTTTACATATAAAGAAACAGGCTCAGAGAGGGTAGTTCAATTGCTCAAAGTCACACAGCAAATCTGTGGCAGGATTCAAACACAGTTCTAATTCTCCAGGGTCTACACTTTTTCACTGAGCCACAGGAGGTAATGGTTCTATAGAGTGTGTATTTCAAAACATGATCTGGGTGTTCTCAAAAGATGCAGATTCCTAGCCCCTCCTGAAAAGCTTTCAAGCATGTTTGGAACAACTTAGGTATGTGAATCACGGTTTTCTACATGGTTCTGGTGTGGACCTAACCCTCCCTCCCAGGCCAACCTGGCTGCCCGCCTCCCTGGTCTCACAAGAGCACCCGCCCCCCACGGGGGGTGGTGCACCCACATTGTTAATCATGAGGTGCATGATGGTCTTAGGCATAAGGTCGCGCACGGTCTTGTTGACGATGGCCATGTACGAGTCCACCAGGTTCCGGATGGTCTCCACCTGCCGCTCCAGCTGGGGGTCCATGGAGTGCATGAAGTTGTCTGAGCCATTCTCCTCCGTCTCGTTGGCCTACCATTGGGAACAGAGGGCATCAGGGTGGCTGGACCCTCAAAGCCAGGTTCCAGGTTCCCCAAGGTCTCAGCCCCTCCCCTCCAATGGTACCTGGAACACTGAGGCACAGAGAGAAGCAATTGGCCTGGACACATGGACACTAGCTACTAGCTCCCCCATATGCTCTGGGTCTCTGGGCTCTGCCCATCCCAAAGCCCCTCAGGACCCCAGACCCTCGTTTAACCTTATCTCTCTGACTCTAGAGCTTGGAATTTGCCTCCGTTTCCCAGTCCATAAACTGGGAAAGGACATCTCTAAGGTCCCTTGGTGATTCTAAAGACCTGGCCAGAGGTCGTGCCAGGCTGGAGACACATGGCAGAAGGGGAGGGAGGGGCACACTCACTTTCTCCTTGTCCTGGGAGGCCCACACCAAAACCACAGAGGTCACCACACCAGCATGGCCACCGCCAGCGAGCACAGCCGAGACAGACACACAGAGGAAAGGGGGAAGGACTGAGTGAGCCCAGGGCACTGTACCCCAACTCTAAGGCAGCTGGAGACACTGCCACAGTGAAAGAGGGGGGAAGGGAAGGCAGTCACAAGAAACCACTACCACGTGACGGGGATGCAGGACTGTGGCCGAGGAGGGGACACACAAACCCGCCATTGGAGGAGGGCGGCAGGTAGCGGAGCGATGCCTGTTATGTTTTAGCTCAGCGAGGGCTCGGGAACATGGCGTCACTGAGGATGGGGCCCCAGACTCCCCATTATAAGCAGCTTGCCCCTCCCCTCCCCTCCCTGCCCTGCCACTCACCCCAACACGCTCGGGGTACACGCCAGCCCTCAGGAAGGAGGCCTTCCAGCTATCCACCTCCTCCTGTGTCTCGCAGGCCAGTTCCAGCTGCCGATAGTCTTTGTAGACATTCCTGCAAGATGGGGCGGGCGGTGAGGGGACGGGCGAGGCCCATTCACCCCGGTGGTTCGGGGCTTGCATGGGCTGGGGTCCTCACGCCTGGGGCCCAGTGCCGGCTTCCTCATTTCCCAGTGGGGTGACCCTGGGCAAGTCCCTTCCTCTCTCCAAGCCTCAGTTTTCTCATCTGGAAGGCAGGTGAACAATTCCTGCCTCCTGGGGTAACGCGAGGGTTCAGTGAAATGAGCGCTGATATGTTCAGTTAGAAAGGGACCGAGCCCTCCCTAAAGGACATCGGTGACAGCTCAGCCCCTCGTGTGGGTCTCAGCCCCACTGGCTCCCTCCCTGACTCTCGGGACTCCTCGATCGCAGCTGTACTGAGCCCTTGTCTCTGAGTAGGACCGAGCCCATTAGAATGAGCCCTGGGTTAGGAGGTGAGAGGCCGGGGCACTTACCAACATGAGAAGGCATGACTGGGGCTCCCTTTTGTCCCAGTGCCTAGCAGAGTGTCTTATGCAGAGCAGGCACGGACAGAGTGAGTGTGTGAGGACAGGGGGAGGAGGGGGAGAGGGAGGGAGGAGGGGAGAGAGGAGAGGGTGGTGGGTGGGAAGATCTT